ACAAACAAGTGAAACTTTTAAGCTTTTAATTGATTAATTTAAACAAACATTGAAAAAAGGATTTTTTGGTTGGTCATAGAGATAAGACCATGTGTGAAAAAAAAAATTACTGGACAAAAATTTTAGAACTAGTCAATGTGCTCACAGCTTCAGGCATGTAGACATCTACGTAGCTCATTTCTATTTTTAAATTTCAGATTTTAAAATGGCTAAGAGTAAAATTTTAACAAAGTTCGAGCAGGGCAGGGTTGTTGAACTTCAAAGACGTGGTCTTTCGCAATGAGCCGTTGCAAATGAAATTGACCGTGGCAGAACTGTCATTAATAACTTCATTAAAATTCCGGATGCGTATGCTTCTAAAAAATCAAGCGGTCGACCCCAATAAAATCTCACCATCTCTAGACAGACGCATTAGGTGAGAAGTTAAAAGAGATTCAAGCCTAACATCAAATCAGATAAAAGCGAATACAGATGCTGAATGCAGCTCTCGAACAATTTGACGGCATTTAAATAAGAAACGGTTTAAGAAATTGAAACTGCTGCAGAACCCTTCTTCTTCGCCATAATGCCCCCCGTTTACAATTTGCTTCCGATTATCAAAACTTGGGATGTGAATAAATGGAAGAAAGTGTTGTTTTCAGACGAGAAAAAATTCAATCTTGTTGGCCCAGACGGTTTTTAGCGTTACTGGCATGCAAAAGATGTCTCAAAAGAAATTTTCTCAATACGACACAGTGGAGGTGGATCAATTATGGTCTGGGGTTCATCTTCGTACAATGGAACTCTTGAGTTACAGGAGGTTAAAGGTCGTCAAGCAGCTGCTAGGTACATTGACATGTTAAGAAAGGCATCACTAACTACTAAAGGTCCTCATCTGTGTAGAGAAAACTGGATTTTTCCAATGCTGCAATCCACGACGCTCTCCAGATCGAAACCCAATCAAGAATGTTTGGGGATTGGATGCCAAAGGATGTTTATAAACATGGATCACAATTTGAAATTGTGGATGCCCTTTGTGCTGCAGTTTATGCATCCTGGACGAGCATCCCAAGAACCCTCATGCAGAAGTTAATAATGAGTATGCCAAAGTGAATTTTCGAAGTAATTCGCAAAAATGGAGGATACACTGAGAATTAAATTGTCGTTGTGACTTATTTGTTCTGTATTTGCTATTTTTATTTACATGGTCTTATCTTTATGACCAACCAAAAAAATACTTTTTTTCAATATTTGTTTAAATTAATCAATTAAAAGCTGAAAATTTTCACTTGTTCGTTGATAAACTACATTTTCTAATTAAATGTAAATGTTTCGCAAATATATTTTGATTAAAGTAACAGTATTTTATATATTTTTAACCCTTTTGTATCTGGTCTTAATATTTTGACCAGGGCGTGTATATATATATATATATATATATATATATATATATATATATATATATATATATATATATATATATATGGCGGATTCTCCCATCACATCCACCGTATGAGGGTCAGAAACTCAGTTCCTAGGAACCGACAGCCAGTCACCAGCACATACGATTTGATTATAGGGGTGAAGGCTTTGTGCAGAACCAACCACACTTTTTGAAGTGCTGAATACTGAGACCTAGTGCACTACGTACCACAAAGATTCCCAACCAACCCTCCACAGTTTTTGAATTCAGATTTGTCCTTCTCCTAGACCAGTTGCTATCCAAGGCTGCACAACTGTCTGTCTTGCTAATTACCCATAGCTGGAGGGAAGAAGATTCATACCTTTTCCAAGGGTATTAACACTTAAGTGAATGTAATGGATTCGACTGGAAATCGAACCCTGAGCCCTCAGTCCGAGCTGCTACCTACTACTCCCGTGCCTCGTTATATATATATATATATATATATATATATATATATATATATATATATATATATATATATATATATCACTCTCTCTCTCCTCTCACTCTCATATCTATTGATGATATAGTCGGTCATGGTTATCAGTCTCCACAGCTTCCTATCTTTTGTTGCTTTAGCGATACTTTCTCATAAAAAAATCCCTATTTTTCTTTATTTCTCCATCACTTTGCACATACTTGTCAAGCAATTTCCTCAGCATGTCTCACATTCAGTATGGCCTGTGAGCATTAAATTCTAATAGCCTTCTTCTCTCGTTTTGCATGCCTAAAATTTCAGCATTTTTTTTTCTGAGTTTTAGCAGCTGATTTTTACCGTTCCGAATTTCATTAAGATGAGCTCGTGGCTAGAACGTCTTCGTTCCGAATTTCACCACATGCTTGATTTGTCAAGGAAGCCAATTCTTGATAATATCTGCCTGGGAAGATGTTCCTAATACAAAGCACAGTTAGAACGTTTAGTTTTTAATCATTTCACCCCCAGAAAGATGATAATGCCACTAAGATGCAAAGGGTTACTGGGACTGAACGAGACTGGGAAGACTTCACTGAGGAGAGAGGACAAAAACTATTAGAATAGAACTTACTGTTACATCTAGCTAGTTCAACACTAAAACAATGGGACCTAGTGGTCAATCTAGTAGTAAGCCTAAATTCATGCAGTCGAGGCATCAAGGAGGAAAGCTCATCAGGACAATTGCCATGAAAGTATTTATAGAAAAGATAGTGTAGAGCCGTCATGATGGTGAGAAAGTGACTGAAATCGAGATGTCAGCTAAGAACTGTACCACAAGCTTACTCAATCCTTGTAAATGAAATTGGGAAAAGACAAAGTGTACTAGCTTATTCAATTACGCCAGATTATACACTTTCTCCCCAAAACTGTAACTATGGTCAGTTCAGCATAGTTGCAGTATAAACCACAGTTTGAATCTGATGCTAAAAAGAAACGAAATCTGTTTGTGCAGACGTCTGCAACAGGGATTAGCTAACCTCTCTAATACACTCTATAGTAGACTGAAACTGACGGATACCTACTTGTTTTCCTTAAAACTTCCTAATTTGTCATTTGATATGTCCATGATATTCTGAAAATTTATGTGTGAAATCCCGTCTCCAGTTCTTTTTTTCATTCATCAAAAAATTTTCAAACTTTTACTGTCTTCTAGGTGGGTAGACATTGCATATCAATCCCTCATTTATTTTATCGTTGCCTGACTTATTTTCAGTTTATTAAATATATTTAAGTATCTTTGTTAATCATTTCACCCCAAGCAAGTCGGGAATGCCACTAGTACACCGAGTATTACAAGGAGTGAAAGTGAGAGAAAAGAAATAGTTTAGGGAGGGTTGTGGAAAAGACAAAAGATGATTCAGGAAGACAGAAGATGGCGATTGACGTTGCATTTAATTTTTTTTTTAAATTTTAGTTGTCAGAGAATCAAGTAAACGGAAGGTAGTTCCACAAGCGGGAAGTACGAGAAAAGAAACTGTTGGGGTAGAAGTGGCGGTTAAATTTAACTATTTCAACAGTAAAAGGGTGGGACCTAGATGCCAATCTAGTAGCATGTTTAAATACATGTAGTCGGGGGAAAATACCCGTCAGAACAGTTGCTATGAAAATATTTGTAGAAAAGAAAGAAGAGAGCCAAGTCACGTTGGTGAGAAAGGTACTAAAATCGAGATTCCAAGTCAGGATCGATTCCATTACAGTTGCTTCTTTGGATTTGAGAACCCCGAGAGGAACGGCAGTGGCTCCAGACCAGATATGGTAACAATATTCATTGCAAGATGTGTGAGATAGACTCTGATGAGAAATAACTTCTGGCACGACACAGTGAACCAACTGTCCTTGCAGTAGATGCAGTTATTGATTTAATGTAGTTGTTCCACTTCAAGTCAGTTGAAACCGTGAGGCGAATAAGTTTTTGACTCACGTGTAAACTAGACACGTGTCTAACCTTTTGCCTCGTGTGAAAAGCAAACTAATAACTTTGACTATCATGCAAACAAATCCTGACTCTAAGTATTTTTTGTTTTGTTTTTTGTTTTGTTTTTTGTTTTTTGTTTTGTTTTTTGCGAGGGGGGGGCTTAAACATTTCACCCTAAGCAAAGCAAGAGTGACACCAGCACGCAGGAGGTTACGGAGAGTGAAACTGAGAGCAATGAGTGGGTGTAGGGGGGTAACTGAGGAAAAGAAAAAATGAGAGAGATCAAGGCAACAGAAGATGGCGATTGACGTTGCATTTAAATATTTGAAGATTGTAGTTATAGGGAAAGCAAGGGAGAGGAAGAGATTTCCAATGTCGGGGAGTACAAGGAAAGAAACTGTTGGAGTAGAAGTGGCGGTTATATTTAAGTATTTCATCAGTAAATGAGTGAGATCTAGATGCCAACCTAGTAGCACGCTTAAATTCATGTAGTCTGGACATCAGCGAAACAAGCTCGTCAGAAGCCATGGAAATATTTGTAGAAGTCAGGATCAATTCCATGCTTCTTTGGATTTTGCCGAGAACCTCCAGATAAACGACAGGAGCTCCGGACAAGATAGGACCGCAGCATTTAATGCATGGTCGAATGGTTAATTTGTAAATATACAAGATGAACTCCGACGAGAAAAATTTTCTGGCATGACACAGAGACACAACTTCCCTTGCAGTAGATGCAGATATAGATTCAAGTCAATTGAAAACGTGAAATCAAGAAGCTGCAGTGTGTTGCTCTCCAGGAGTCTAGCGTCAGCCATGTTGATGGCAGGTGAAAAAGTTCCTCTATGGTGGTTAAATGAGAACAGTTTTATTTTGGAGGCGTTAAAATTTACAAGTCATTTCCTATAGTTTGCTAATCCCATGTACTGTCAACATATACAAGTAAATAACTTTATATCTTTTACAGCAGACCCTGCGTATTTCACAGGCATGATGAACTGTTGTACCCATAATGAGGTTCCTTGTCTAGAATATCTTTGGACTCAATCTCACGTGGAGCTAGTATGCACGAACCATCACGAAAGACGCTTCAAAGATGGTCAGCTTCCTGTATCGCCCCAGAATGTACTTGGAACCTCCTGCCATGCTCTATCTCTATAAGTGCCAGATTAGACCAGAGTCTTGCTGCCACATCTGTGATAAAATAAAGAAGGGAAATTTGGAGAAAGAAAGAATAGACTAAAATGAATAAAAGAACGAAAGGGGCGTTGGAATGAAGAATAAGAAAAAGAAAGCCAGAAGGAAAAAGAGAAAAAGGAAACGAAAGAAGAAGGAAAATATAAAAGCAAGTGGCAAATTAAGAAAGGAAAATTTAAAGGAAGACATGTAAAAAGAAAGGAGTAAAGAGAAAGGATAGAATGGAAGAAAAATTCGAGGAGAAAGCGAAAAGAAAGAAAATAAAGAAGGTAAAGTTCGAAGGAAGAAGCAAAGAAGGAAAATCTAAATGGAAGGAAAAACACAAAAGAAAAAGAAATGATAAAAGGGAATGTTCGAATGAAGAAAACATAGAAAGGAAAAAAGAAGGAAAAGATAAAAAGGAAAGAAAATAAAGAAGGAAAAGTTCGAAGGAAGAAAAAAAGAAGGAAAATCAAGAAAGAACAAAAGAAAGAGACGAATGCAAGAAAGTAGACAAAATAAAAGTAGAAGGAAAAAAAGAAAAACGTAAAGCAAAAAGGAAAAATAAAAGGAAAGTTTGATAAAAGAAAAAAGAAAGAAAAGTACAAAGGCGAAAACGTCCTGGGTAAGACGATAAATTACATCCAACAGCAAGGCCTCTGGTCAGCGGAACCACTTCTTAATTGCTGGTGTTCCAATATCCACCCTGATTCGGGGTGGTAGCACCTGTTAGGGCTCCAGCTATGGGCAAATAGTCAAACTGGGTCCAAAAACACTATCAAAGTGTAAAAATAGCTTTTAATACCAGCAATACATTTTTGTAAAAAGTTATTAACAGCGATACAATTTGGGGGAAAAAAATATTACGAGCAATAAAAATCTTGTCGGCATTAAATAACCCATTGAGGTTGATATACCGTAAGACAAACCAAACCAATATATACTGAGATAGATAGATAGATAGATAGATAGATAGATAGATAGATAGAAAATATTACCATTGTATATATTGTCGGCATTAAATAACCCATTGAGATTGATATACCATAAGATAAACCAAACCAGATCAAACCAAACCAATATATATATATATATATATATATATATATATATATATATATATATATATATATAGAGAGAGAGAGAGAGAGAGAGAGAGATATTATCAGCAATTAAAATCTTGTCGGCATTAAATATCACATTGAGGCTGATATACCGTAAGACAAACCAAACCAAACCAATATATACTGAGATAGATAGATAGATAGATAGATAGATAGATAGATAGATAGATAGATAGATAGATAGATAGAAAATATTACCATTGTATATATTGTCGGAATTAAATAACCCATTGAGATTGATATACCATAAGATAAACCAATCGAGATCAAACCAAACCAAATATATATATATATATATATATATATATATATATATATATATATATATATATATATATACACACACACACACACACACACACACACAGAGAGAGAGAAAATATTACCAGCAATTAAAATCCTGTCGGCATTAAATATCACATTGAGGTTGATATGCCGTAAAACAAACCTATCCAAACCAAAGTAAACAAAGGCGAAAAGGTAGAATGTAAAGCTAGAAGGAAGAAAATAGGAAAGAAAATGTTAAAATAAAGATAAATCTAGACGTAAAAAAATGTATCCAAAAATGAAACCAAGAAGAAGAAAAATAGACGAAAAAATTAAAGAAAATGAAGAAAGACAAGAAAGCGCAAAGGAAGAAAATAATTCTCTCCATTAAATATCTGAGAGACTCCTTTCTGCCTTCCATCAGAATGGCTGATGCTAACCTTCAGAATAATGGCTCATTGCGCCTTTCTCTGTTAAAAGATTGAAGTGGAAAAATTATAGAGAATTAATTGCTAGGCCCGCTGCTAAGAAAATTGGTTCCCTGTGACGTGCTAGACAATTTTTATAGCCAGAATCTATCTTATATATTTATAAGTATATAATTCGTCCATGCTTAGAATATTGCTATTACATATTGTCTGGTGCTCCTGTTATATATTTACAGATTCTTAATAAATCCAAAGAAGAATCCGTAACGTTACTTGTCCTGACCCGGCTTCAGTCACTTTGCCACCACCGTAATATAGCTTCCCGCTGCCTTTTCAATACTTTCATGGTAATTGTTCGGATAAACTTTCCGCTATGACAAATTGTACATATGAAAACTAGTTAGTATTTCATAGAGACTCGGAGGTATTATGGTGAATGTAGTAATAATGGTATGTAAAAGGTTTTGTTTTGGCGTAAGGAATACTGTGGTATTTTTAGGTCAGTAATTGTGGATAGCTAATTTAATTATAAGACAGAAGACGAGCCTTCCCCATTTTTGTATTTCACAGAATAAATATCACTTTTTGCTATGATACCTAGTCAGTCAGTTATGTGTCATTATACACGCTTAGGCAATCATGTATCTTTCGATACATGACTGACGAGGCAGATTTTTTCCCGCAGTAGGTTGCCATTTCTTTCAGCGGTAGACCAGCTGCCATCCAAGGCTATAGAACCCGGTCTGTCCTGCTATTTACCCATAGCTGAGGGGAAAAGAAGAGGATTCCTACCTTTCCCAAGGGTATTAGCACATAAGTGAATGTAATGGATTCGGCTGGAAAGTCAGTCAGTCAGTTATCTGCTATGCGTGATACACACTTAAGCGATCATGTATCTTTCGTTACATGACTGACAAGGCAGGCTTTTCCAGCAGTAGGTTGCCATTTCTTTCTTCTGTAGACCAGTTGCCATCCAAGAATACAGAACCCGGTCTGCCTTGCTATTTGCCCATAGTTGAGGGGAGAAGAAGAGGATTCATACATTTCCCAAGGATATTACCACATAAGTGAATGTAATGGATTCGGCTGGAATTCGGACTCGGTTTTTCGATTCTTCAATCAGAGCCGATACCCATTACTAGACTCTGTGAATTTAAACGCAGTACTAGATTGGCAACAACGTCTTATAAGTTTACAGTTGAATTGGCTAGATGCAATCGTATGTTCTATACTAACAGTTTCTTCTCTCGCATTTCTTGCTCGTTGGAACTCTCTTCTGGCTTCATGCTTTCAAGCTAAATTTGATATTCAAAAATTTAAATACAATGTCAATCGTTACCTACTGTCTTTCCTGATTCCTCTTCTCTTATTGTTCTCGCTCCTAAAGACTATTTCCCTTTTTCTCATTTTTTTTACAATCACTAATCCCTTGTGTCTTAGTGGCTTTACTGTCTTGCTTGTTTGGAATGATTTTAAAAAAAAAGATGGGAAAGCAAGAAGAAATAAAAGAAAGTTCGAGGGAAGAAGAGATAGAAGGAAAGGCACCGAAGACGAAAGAGAAAAGCAAACTAAAAAAGGAAGATCGGAAATCTAAACGAGAGAAGAGAAAGTCTGGAACGCCCGGAGTAAAAGAAGAGAGAAAAGAAAGAGAATACTCGAAGGAAGAAGGAAGAAGAGAAAAAAGTTCCAAAAAAGAAAGAAAAGGAAAATTAAAAAGAAACAAAGAGAAAAAAGGAAAGTTTGAAAGTGTGGTGATACCTTAACATAGTCATCTAAGGGGAATAACTCTAAGCAGACACAAAGGAGAACGGGGACTCTTCATAAGGGAGGAAGAGTACATCCGGTAACGTGTATAGACCTTGAAAATAAAGCTCGTTAATTATTCCTATTCAACGTGAACTCCAGTTGTTCCTTAACCATACATCTAAAATAGAAAAACACGGCATGGTATCAGAAGTAGCTTCAGCCAGTAGATATTCCTACACTGTTTGGGACATTGACAAAAAAAGGGAAGAAGATTGAAAAGAAAAAAGGCAGTGAAATGAGAAAAAGAAACATGGCCGTCCCTACTCAACAGCAATGATTTGCGCCTTTCACTATTAAATCGTCCGATTTTAAAAAGCCATTTGAATGGGAAAATGGAACCGTTGTTTTGAAAGATTATGAAAGGCACGTAATCTCCATATTACTACACATGCAAACCGGTTAAGTACCTTAATTTATTGTATGGAATATCAGGCTGAAGATATCCGGCAATACTTAAAATTGTCTGAACAGGAAATAAGTGTCTATGATAACATTAAAGAAGGTTTTCATGCATTTTTTATTGGAAAGAAAAATATAATTTACGAACGAAATGTTTTTTTTTTTTTTTTTTTTTTAATAACAAGGACCCAACAAGTCTGTGGATTCTTTTTAACAGCTCTATATACGTTAAACGAACATTGTAACTATGGGTTTTTAAAAAACGAACTTAACAGGGGCCGTTTGGTTGTCGGGTATTTAGACTTGCGTTTGTCTGAAAAATGCAATTTGGCGGAAATCTCACGCTGGAAGAAGCAGTTGAGAAGTTGAAGAAGCCCGACACACTGAAACTATCAGGCATTAAAAATACAATGGAAGATAGCCCGACTGAGACATGTTCTGTGGACAGAATAATATGAAAAGGGAACCCACCACAAAAATACAAAGGCATAATCACAAATAAAAGTCAGAATAGATAAGTGTGGAAATAGCCTTTACCACGTCAAAACACAATGTCCTGCCAAAGTTATGACATATCACGCATATGAAAAAAAGGATACTACCAGCATGTGTTTACATCAACAGCTGCCCATGAGATAACAGTGGACGGCAGCAGAGTTTTCCTGGGAGCAATATCAGCGGGTGGAGACTCATGGATGGTTGACCCTTAAAAATGGATGGCAGAAGAGTGAAATTTAAGATCGATACAGGCGCCGATGTGACTGTTATCCCAGACAAAGTGTTCAACCAAATTTATGGAAATAATGCCCCAAAATTTGCAGAAGCAACAAAAATAATATGTGGTCCAGAATGTGTTCCACTGGATGTATGAGGGAGTTTGAATATCGTACTTCAAAAAGGAAAGAAGAGAATACAAGAACAAAAGCCTATTTGATTAAGTAACGCTTTTTCAGTATGTCCAGGTCAATAAGCTTTGACCTTGACATACTGAAAAAGAGATATCCAAAACTGAGTAGTGGTCTTGGTCGGGTAGTGAAACCTTACACTATTAGACTTAAACCCGATGCAAAACCATTTTCATTAAAAACACCAGGACGAGTACCCTTTCCTTTGTTACACAAAGTAAAAAAAAGAACTGCAGTATATGGAGCAAATAGGTGGTATCAGTCGTATGGGGGACGCGACTGGTGTATTGGAATCGTAGTCGTCGTGAGTAGAGTAATGGATAGCGGCTCGGATTGAAGAGATCGGAGGGCCGAGTTCGAATTCCAGTCGAATCCATTACATTCACTTACATGCTAATACCCTTGAGAAAGATATGAATCCTCTTCTTCTCCCCTCCCCCCCCCAGCTATAAGTAGCAGGATATGCCGGGTTCTATAGCCTTGAATGGCAACTGGTCTACTGCAGAAGGAACTACGGGAAAAATGTGCCTCATCTGTCATGCATCGAAAAAGACATGATCGCCTAAGCGTGTATCTTGCATGGCACATAACTAACTGACTGATAAAGAAGTCAGGAGGCCCTCGTATATGTGTTGATATCACACAGCTGAATAAGTTAGAATGTAGTGAAAAATACATTCTACCCATCAAACAAACTCTTGGGTCGCTTGCTGGTACTAAGATATTTAGCAAGTTAAATACTAACATGGATTTTTGGTAAGTTCCGCTAGCTAGTCAGCTAAACTGGCCACTTTTATCACACCTTTCGGGAGATTCTACTTCAAAAGGCTACCATTTGAGATAGCATCAGCACCAGAACAGAATGGTCACGGGGATTACGGAAGGTTTGAAAGGTGTGGTCTGCCATATAGATGATATTCTGATATGGAGACACTCTCAATAAAAACATGACTCCAGTCTACATGCAGGAAGCAGGAAAAAGTTGGGATCACACTCAACATGATTAAGTGTGAGTTTCCAAATGTGAAGGAATGAAGGCTGATTCAAGCAAAACGGCTTCCATAAGGTAATTGCAGGAATCTACACGTATAAGTGGACATCGGAGCTTTCTGGGGATGGTGAACCAGTTGGGAAAGTACATACCCCAGCGAGTTGAAGACTAACCTCTGCCAAACTTGCTTTTCAAAAGAAATCACTGGTACTGAGTAGAAGATCAGACTAAAGTTTTCAGCACATTGAAGGAATATTTGGTAAAATACACCAGTGTTCGTTCTTTACAATCCAAACCAAAAGACTAAAGTATCAGCAGATGCAACCAGCTTTGCTCTGGTAGCGGTGCTTTAGTAACAGTAAATGGAAGAATGGAGGCCTGTCGTCTATGCCTCCAGGTCATTTT